CATCATCAGCCTGGTGTTGTCTGTAGGATGCGGCCTGCTGCTCATCTTCTTGGTTTGGAAGAAAGAGTATCTGCAAAAGCCCAGCCACTACCTGCGGTGTAACCTGGCGGTAGACGACATCATCTTCACCGGCTGCCTGATCCCCATCTGTATCTACGAACTTTTCCAGCAAGACGCCAGCGGGGAACAGCTGTGGTGTACGGCTAAACCACTGGTAGCGCCCGCATGTTCGATGTCTATGTATGGTACATACCACATGATGGCAGTAGACCTGTACTACTTCGTGTGCCACCCACTACACTACCATGAAAAAGTCACCACAAGACGTGTGGTCGTTGGCATCTTGGCGTTTAGAGCCTTCTCCTTCCTCGGACTTACGCCTGTGGCCTTTGGCGCACGCCAAGTCCCCACGTACAGCCTGCATTGTGAGATGACCACAGTTCCTGGGAACAGCACCTTACCTGACATTTTCATAGGCATGAACGCACTATTCGTATTACTTGTTGTTCTCTCCGTCACAGTGATATACTACCTTGTCTTCAAGGAAGCCAGAAGGCAGCAGGAACGAGACGAGAACCGTGACCTGTGGGTGTTCCAGACCAGGGCGTTCAAAGTGATGCTGCCGCATGCTATCGTGTTGGCTGCATCTCTAACCACTGCCCTTTTCCATGTAGCCATGGTACGTATGCGAGCTCTGATCAGCGAAGAGCAGATGTCCCAACGTGCCCTGATCATCGCTGACCGCACGGCCATCCTCCTGCTCCTGACGCTATCATCCCTGGCGAACCCATTCATCTACAGCTTCCGGCTGCCAGAGTTCCGCCGAGCCTGCAGGGAGCTGTGCGGATTGCGGACCAACCCTAACCCGCCGGTGGTACCGGCGCGACGGGTTCGGCAGGACGGCGCGGAGATGGCCGCCGTCACCGGTCCTAGGCGGCGCGGTGCACCGGCCACGCAACTGGCGTCAGTTCAAACCTCTCCAGCGGGCCTGATCATGCAGCCCACGGTGGAGGAACTGCCTTCCGACCCAGCAGAAAAGCAGGCAACACAGGCAGACACGACCGTCCCCGGACCAGCCTCCCGTGCAGAACACCAGACCGCCTCAGGGCGACTGTTCCGGCTAACAGTGAGGGCGGAGGTGCACGCCAAGCCAACACCACGTCCTGAAGACAACATGACGGTAACCCTTCCCGGACAAGTACACACGGATGCCGAAACAGAAGACGTCCCTACACTTACACTGGACACCGAGAACAACCAGGCAACAACAGGACACACTTCGGACCGCCCGCTTGTGCGTGCAAAGTTAGCATGGGAGGGCTAGGTACAAGCCATTGCAACAAAGGCCGACCCTGAAGAAGAGACACCCCGAAATAAGGACTTGCTCTCTGAAACAGTTAAACCAAACAAGACCTGTGGAATAGATTTGGACAAATCAGGAACAGAATTACCCAAGGACCCTGTGTTCATTCACTTTGAAAATATATTACCATCTGAATTAGAAAAAAGTGAACAGTTCAGGCAAGGAAGCGGGGTTAGGAGCAGGACCACCGTATCATCAAGGAGGTTTACCTCCTTGGTATCATCCACTATCCAAAGGGGCAGAGGTAGGCTTGTTTTACCAGTTTTCAAGACGTTCATTCACTCGGTTCATTCACTTGTAAGATTGAAGACCGTTTTACAGTCATGATCCCTTCAACCTGGAACCGGGCCACAATAAGTTGGCTTTCCTTAACTTAATCCTGTAATGCTCTGGCGCATGATACGAGTAATATATGTCATTGCCTTCATTATAAAACGGTCTCTGCCTCTGGTCTTGCACTGGGGGCATTTGTAAAGAGAAAAAGAAAAAAAAACTGAAGAGTGATTGTATTGTGTTAGACAAAATTGCGTAGTCATCCCTGAAGAGATCACTAAAACTGAACTATTCCTAGAAGATACACATTTATCGTCTAGTCTGGTTGTAGTAAAATTCACTGTGACGATTATTGTATGTGTATTAGTATACTCTAATTGATGTGCATATATATGTATGATTAGTAACATGTTTTGTAGTTGGCCAGTAATTGTCCATAGTGAAGTGAAAATGTACCGGTCAATACATGTTCCAAACGCTAGTAAAACAGTAGTTCTTGGGACCTGAAGTAAACGTGTTTGTAAAATCTTGACTATCAACGTATGTTTATAACAGTATGTATTTATTATGTAGCTCGTCGCCATTGTTGTGTATGTAATGTTTTTTTTTATTCCGAAACATATAATCACAAGACGTGGTGACGGCACACTCAAGTTTTTTTCAACTTATATTAATGCCGCCACCAACACAGGGGACAGTACGTATTCATTTACACCTGAGTGAAGTGAGGAAAGTCGTGTCAAGTGCCTTTCCCAAGGGCACAAGATCGGTGACATGTAAGGACTCGAACCCGGGGCCTCTGGTTCCGAGTCGAGAACGCTGCCGCTACGCCACACGACCCCACAAAAATGTAAATGTATGTAATGTTGCCCAGGCCACATAGGTTGACCCGCATAGCTTGTTATGAGTTATTTTATGTAATGTAATGTAATCATTTCCACTTAGTTTGACATGCAGTTCTAATTAAAGTGTATGTACTGCCAAAGCTAATTCAAATATCGGACTATGTAGCTCTTTAATTTGCTTTATTGTTTATTGGTTATATGTAATGTAGCGCATATATATGCGTCGACCCCCGTATACGTAAGTTGTCTAATTGCGAATTGTCATTTTCTGTACTATTCTCAGCTGGTTTGCCATGTGCAGTTTAAGTGTTCAAAATAAAATTTGATGGCTTGTAGTGCACGCATTGGCTCCCGAGTATCTTTGGTTAACGTGTAGTAGTTCTCAGTTTTGTTTTATCTAGTCGATGTTCTGGTAAAAGGGTGCTATAAACATATTCATGAGGCACGTGGTTCGGGACGCATATACCGTACCGGTTAACATCGAATAATTGCAAGAATTTTTAATAACCGTTGTTGATATAATAACCGCTGGAAAGTTATATCTCGATGCCTGCATGATGACGTCCCACATTATGAGATGCCATTCCGTGCCTCACGTCAGAGATGAATAACAAGAATGTTCTAATAAATGTTCATCTACGGAACTATCTGATGATGAGTGGCAGCGACAGTCTGAGACACACAGGCTCAGACTACAGCAGTTATTAAAGTTATTAGCTTAAAAGCTCCAAATACAAAGGCTGTTAACTGACAACATTTTTTCTCTTTATGATTCTCACGATACAGTTAAGAGTAGGGGGAGCGGCAAACTGAACTCTCCAGCAAATCAACTCCCCTGGCATGTTATCTCTCCATTTGGCCAATTTCTACTCTTTTCAACCGCCTCCCGAAGCCTGGTAGAGGCTACTAGGTGTATTTGCCCCCATGGACAATTTCTCACTTCCCATAATGCCTACTAAAGATCACGGATATGGATGGGATATGACGTAAGAAGCGGATATACGTAATGCGACCGTGCGAGTAGGAGAGTCTTTGGTAGAAGGTGGAACGATAGAAGGTACGTCATTTTCTCTAATTTCGCTTTATACTAGATAAATGATTCAAAACCATATAGTTGACCAGTTTGTCGCTAGAACTTGTTGGAAATATTACATCGAGGCAGGGGGAGGGCGTGGTCAACGTCATATCCGTGATCTTTACTACTAGGCATGGGAAGTAGCCTACATCCTATTTTTTCCCATGATGCTTTGCAAAACAAGTGAAACCACTTCCAAACCCACTTCCGCTAGTGAGAATCCAAGATTTCCGTTAGATGTTTGGTCAACGTTTCATCAGCATTTTGTCCCTTGCATATCAGAAAGGAATTATTCAAAGGTAAACACAATCAGAGCATGGGACAAAACAAACCTGGCAAGTCGAGTATTAAAGAGGGAATATCAGTAGTAGAACATCAGATATGCTGAAAACTTCTCACATACTAAAATCAACGCAGCGGCCTTCCAAAAGTGCATGTCATCTTACCCGTTCCTTTGTCACTCTGATCCAGAAACAGCATGCCTCCTTCCGCCATGCAAAGTGTACACCAGTTCTGTACTGTATGTATGTAATTACACGCACCACCCACCTTACATTTTTACTTCTTCAGCAGAGGTTTAGGCTTCAACTTACGTTTGTAGTGTTTTTATGCACTTTTATTTGTGGGCTCTGGTTTTTTTGTACTGCTGGTATCTTTAAGTGCATGTACAAAGAATGGTGGAAGGAGAGGAGATTGGCGCCGCCTTCTAATACCGTGCCCAGAGAAACAGTGAATAAACAATCCACTACTCCTCCGGTCCCTACGGCCTGAAAAAGGTCTATGACTCTCAGAAACGGGTTAACAGGCCTGTCCTTAGAGCTGAAAAACTCTCAGAAACGGGTAAACAGGCCTGTCCTTAGAGCTGAATAACTCTCAGAAACGGGTAAACAGGCCTGTCCTTAGAGCTGAATAACTCTCAGAAACGGGTAAACAGGCCTGTCCTTAGAGCTAAATAACTCTCAAAAACGGGTAACCAGGACTGTTGAGAATCTCTCAGAAACGGGTAAACAGGCCTGTCCTTCGTGCTGAGTAACTCTCAAAAACGGGTAAACAGACCTGTCCTTAGTGCTGAGTAACTCTCAAAAACGGGTAAACAGGCCTGTCCTTAGTGCTGAATAACTCTCAGAAACGGGTAAACAGACCTGTCCATAGTGCTGAATAACTCTCAGAATCAAGTAAACTGGCCATCTCTTAGTACTTAATAACCCACAGAAACGGGTAAACAGGCCATTTCTTAGTACTGAATAACTCTCAGGAACAGGTGAACAGGCCTGTCCTTATTGCTGAATAACTCTGAGAAACTGGTAAACAGACCGGTCCTTAGTGCTAAATAACTCTCAGGAACCAGTAAAAAGACCTGTCCTTAGTGCTGAATAACTCTCAGAAACGTGTACGGGTAAACAGACCTGTCCTTACTGCTGAATAGCTCTCGGAAAGGGGTAAAAAGACCTGTCCTTAGTGCTAAATAACTACCAGAAACGGGTAAACAGTCTTATTTACATTTACATTGCTTATTCAATAGCGACGTCTGGTAGCTGATAATATAAATGCTGCACACTAACTAAAGTGTAAAAAAAAACTTCAACAAATCAGGAGAAGTAAGGAACCAACTGATGTTGAATTGAAATCTATTGGAAGTGTCTATTGGTCACTCAGCAGCCAATCATTATTCAACACGAGGGATACTAAATATATATTATTAGCACGTCGGCAGAACGTACTGCGCCTGCGAGAAACCCCGATTTTTCACGTTCTTTTCAACGTTACATCTGAATTTGGCCTGTTGCAGACGATATCTTTTCTAACACGATCTTTGGAAACTACGGTTGGGATGTTAACTTTACATATATGTACATCAGGTTTTGAATCTGCATCACATGGTTGTTTTACCACATCACTGACCAATACCAACAGACAAGTTTCTATCTTAGTTTAATTTCCGGTTCAAATGTCGACTTCCTCAATGATGATCCTTGAGTGAGAGTTCGCCCCGGTGTGGACGTTTGGAGCTCCACTTGGGCTGTCGCACGCGCCGACGTTCAGAGCCACGGTCACAGGCCCAGCCGGCAGGTCGTAACACAGGCCGTCAACTGGGAAAACAATGATGACATACGTCACACTTTTATCTGGCCTTTCATAAAATAAGTTTCTTTTATAACAACATTGAATCATGTTTTTTTTTTCTTAAAAGTAGCGTATAAACAAATTCGTAATGATGTTTTTCAGTAATCTTAATGATACGTTTTTTATGTATGTGAATCCATCTAATTCTTTCCTTGGGACTGCCTGTTCTCAATTTGCCTCTTGTAAATTAAAATTATACCCTTCCTGTTAGAACTAGACTGCTTTATGACTCACTTGTAGACACACGATGGATGTTGAGGTTAGCGTTGTTCGTGTAGACTACACCGTCGATGGGGAAGGGGTTCCCGCACTCAGCCCTGTTAAACGTGAAGAACCAGCGCGCACAGCCACCGGAGGACCCCGTATTTCGGAGGTCACCGTTCCACGTCAGACGAAGGGCGGATGTCGGGGAGATCTTGTTGAACTCGCACTCCTGAGGTTGCATGAGGATGACAGGGTATGTTACGTCTAGTTTGGATTGAGATAAGATTTCAGGACTATGTATTTGTATGTATGTATGTATGTATGTATCCCTATGTCGCTATCTATCTATACAATGTACATGTATCTCTATCTCCGTCCATCTGTCTATTATCTATCTATATAATGTATCTCTATCTATCTATCTATCTATCTATCTATCTATCTGTCGATCTATCTATATCTCTCTCCATCTATACAATGTATCTCTATCTACCGATTTATCTATCTAGTAGATCTATCTATCTATCTATCTATCTATCTAACAATCTATCCATATCTCTCTCTATCTATACAATGTATCTCTATCTACCTATTTATCTATCTAATAGATCTATCTATCTATCCAATGTCTACCTAATGTCTATCTAATTATCTATGTAAATGTATATCTAATGCCTATCCATCTATGCATAACAGTTTTGGCGAGCTAACTTTGTATGCTCCACCTCTATTATGGAGGATGAATGATGATGATGATGATCCATCTATATATGTAAATGCCCCCCCTCTCCTCCATTACATCAAACAGGAGATGTCAACAGAAGAGAAAGAATAAGAATAAATACCACGATCATCCCAGAGTCCGCATCATTGTACAGGTTTTTCCAGGCACACTGCTTTAAGTTCACTCGGGGCGGCATGCCTGGAGGTCCCGTCTCCCCTGCACTGCCCTTCTCCCCGGGCGGCCCCTGCTCTCCTCGGTCTCCCTTGGCACCGTCCCTGCCGTTGTAGCCAGGGACGCCATTGTTACCAGGGAGACCGTTGTTGCCAGGGACACCGGCTAACACTTGAGGTCCGATGACGCAACTCCCACAACACTGTGTAAAACGGTGAAATGCACAAAAAAGGTTTGCATAGATTGTAAAATAAACTTATGAGGAAAATATGCATGAGTTAAAGATAACCTAAATGTACATGATTTGAAGATTTCATTATATGTGTACAATATGAATTTCATTTCACAAATGCTATGTTAATGACCATCCACCCGATAACTTTAGTCGTCTGGTACGCGCTATACTACTACTTGTAGCACCTTTGACTGCGCCGCTCGATGACGCCATAAGAATGCCCAATTTTGTTTGCACTCTATACCGCACAAACAAAAGCTTTATCAAATCTCACTTAAAAACAAATGTTATCCCAAATACGTAAAAACACCAATAAAAAGCATATTCTTAAAAAAACATTTTCTGACAAATGTGTATTATTCCATCAAAAGTGTATATCAAAAGACTGAATGGTATTCTTTGAACATGTGTCCAAGGTATCCCCATACCGAATTTCAGGTCATTTGGATTTAATATTAGGGCACATTAGCAAAAAATGTACATTTTTTGTCCGAAAATAGGCAAAAAGCCCTATTTTAACAATTTTAAAGTGGTGTATGTCGAAAGCTTGAATAAGGTTTTGTAGACATATGCCCAAGGCATTCCCATACCAAATTTCAGGTCATTTGGTTTTAGTACTAGGGCTCCAGATCCCTAAATCTATATTTTTTGCCTGAAAATGACAAAAAAAAGCAACAAATAAAACAATTTTTCAAAAAATAGATGAAAAAAAAAACACCTGAAGGTATTTGGCTACTCTACCAAAAATGAAGAAATTGAATCCATTTAACCAAATGGCAGGAGGAGGAAGAGAAGAAACATGAGAGAAAACAATTTGTCTTGCAATATGGTGAAGCCATTAAAACACTTAAAACTTCACGCGTACTTTTCACCTAACCTTTGGAACAGCTGCCTTTCAGGACATTCATTAAAAAGGTTCAAGTCTTGGTACGCTGTTCATTTAAAATTTGGAAAGACGCTGTTGGTAGTCCAAATATTGTTTGTAAGCATATGTGTTCCTCTCACCTGTCCTGTCCCAACGTCTTGTCCACGGTTTGTCTGTGCAAAAATCGCCGCCACAAGCCCCACAACTGCAAACCACGCGTTAACAGCCATACCGTCGACTTCTACCAACAACTGAAACGTTCGTGAAAAAGGTTTCAACTTATATTAATGCCGCCACTAAATGTATTGTGCACAGCACTTTGGCAGAATGTTCCGTCTACAGTTTTCTAATGCTGTGTCCGGAAAGCTACATTCTACAGATGGCAAAATTCTCACGTAACGTCTGAACGTTGACCAAACATCCAATGTAAACCGTGCAAACTAGCACGTCGGCAGAACGTACTGCGCCTGCGCGAAACCCTGATTGATTTTTTTCACGTTTTCTTGTTGAATTTTTGGACAACGTTGCATTATAATTCTGCATGTTGCAAAAATGTCTTTTCCGACATAACATTTGCAAACTACAGACGGAATGTTTACCTTATATTCGCGAATACGAAACGTTCTTCCGCCGAAATGCTATGTACAATACATTACGTATACAGAGCCCGTCCAGCGGCAAATACTGGTATGTTAGGTCACAGCAAGTAACTTTGTGGATGACATCCGCACGCGCATTGATGTTGGCCTGATTTTGAAGACAATGATCGGATTTATTCTTTTGTCTTTCACTTTGATGCAGTGAAGTATTTCCTATTTATATGTGATAATGCATGTCATTTTTCCAGGAAATCAAAACCTTTGCCACAATGATTGTAAACTTGTTTTCAAAGTTGCTTCAGTGCCCCTTGAATGTTGAAATAGTTGTAAGTAAACTTACCACATTATAGGTATCATTTCTTGTTTAATAAAGTTTCTGCAGTACCGATACGCTTTACTGAGCGGCGCATTAGGACCATGATGCCACGGTCAGGTGCAGCTTGTCAGTAGCTGCAGTATTTTCACCCGAAGCGCCACTAAGTCAGGGGAGTAAAAATGAATCCTAGTCCCTAGACTAAAAGATAATAAGTCTCCGATAACCATATCGTATCGGTACAAACGTCACTACGCCAGAGCTAAATACAGTTTTGAGTCATATTAGTACAATTAATGGAAAGAAAATATACTCATATACTGGTAACAGTGACTGCGAAGTTGTATACACAGGAGCAATTCACCAGCGGGGTACCAACCCACTTTAATTTGCGCACACCTACATACTAATAGGTGGAATCACAAATAATAAACATCAATACACAAAAATACATCCACTTACATGGATATCGATCTACAAAACCAATATACCGTAAACCAAGATGTTTTGTATTTAATGACAAGTTAGAAGCCTTGTAACTGAATTTTCAATTCAGCAACGACAGTCTCATGATGTTGCACTTCTAAATAATCTAACGTGCAGTATCTGCAAGCATATCAGCACCGTTTCAGAGTGTTTAGATACGGGTAAACAGGCCAGTCTTTGGTGCTGAATAACTCTCACAAACAAGTAAACACGAGTTGTCCTTGATGCTAAATAACACGCAGAAACGGGTAAACAGGCCTGTCCTTAATGCTGAATAACACACAGAAACGGGTAAACAGGTCAGTGTTTAGTGCTGAATAACTCTCAGAAACGAGTAAACAGGTCTGTCCTTAGTGCTGAATAACTCACAGAAACAGGTTAACAGACCTGTCCTTAGTGCTGAATAATTCTCAGAAACGGGTAAACAGACCTGTCCCTAGTGTTGAATAACTCACAGAAACGGGTAAACAGGCCTGTCCTTAGTGCTGAATAACTCTCAGAAACGGGTAAACAGACCTGTCCTTAGTGCTGAATAACTCACAGAAACGGGTAAACAGACCTGTCCTTAGTGCTGAATAACTCTCAGAAATAGGTAAACAGACCTGTCCTTAGTACTGAATAACTCTCAGAATCAAGTAAACAGGCCATTTCTTAGTACTGAATAACCCACAGAAACGGGTTAACAGACCTGTCCATAGTGCTGAATAACTCTCAGAAACGGGTAAACAGACCTGTCCTTAGTGTTGAATAACTCACAGAAACGGGTAAACAGACCTGTCCTTAGTGCTGAATAACTCTCAGAAACGGGTTAACAGACCTGTCCTTAGTGCTGAATAACTCACAGAAACGGGTAAACAGACCTGTCCATAGTGCTGAATAACTCTCAGAAACGGGTAAACAGACCTGTCCTTAGTGCTGAATAACTCTCAGAAACGGGTAAACAGGTCTGTCAATAATTCAGGAGACGTAAGAAACCTACTTTTGCTGCATAGAAATCTATTGGATGCACTTGTCTATTGGTCACTCCGCAGCCAATCAATATTAAACACGAGGGCTACTACTTATGTATTACTAGCACGTCAGCAGAACGTACAGAAACTACTCTTTACGGTTTTTGCTGAATATTTGGTCAACGTTACATCAGAATTTTGCCTGTTGCAGACGATATCTTTTTCGACATAACCTTTGGAAACTACCGTCGGGATTTTAAACTTATATACATCTTTTTGGAGATTAGATTATGGTTTTGAATCTACATCACATGTTGTTTCACCACATCACTGACCAATAGCAACAGACAAGTTTCTATATTAGTTTAATTTCCGGTTGAAATGTCGACTTCCTCGATGATGATCCTTGAGTGGGAGTTCCACCCGGTGTGGGCGTCCGCGGTTCCGCGTGGGTCTGCGCACGCGCCGACGTTCAGAGCCACGGTCACAGGCCCAGCCGGCAGGTTGTAACACAGGCCGTCAACTTGGGAAAACAATGATGATATACGTCACACTTTAATGTGGCCTTTCATAAAATATTAACATTGATTCATGATTTTTTTAAGTAGCCTATAAACAAATTCGTAATAATGTTTTTCAGTAATCTTTATGATACATTTTTTCCATGTATGTGGAATCCATCTAATTTTTTCCTTGGGACTGCCTGCTCTCAATTTGCTTTAGCCCCGCTTCTTGTATATTAACATAAGTGTCCTTAGGCAACAATATTTAATTCTACGTCAAGTTTTACATTTACAGGTTTTGCCTCTTAAATGTAGGGGTGCTCCTGAGGAAAATACGGGCATCACTACGGGCATGCCTACAGACGACGTACATATATCAGATTATATGACGATTAAACAAAGCGAACTGTGTGTTTTAGCTGCGAACACGAAACACCCTCTGACCACAATACTCCTGCAGGAGTAAGCCTCCTTCACGGAGTTATTATGCCCTTCCTGTTAGAACTACACTGCTTTATGACTCACTTGTAGACACACGATGGATGTTGAGGTTAGCGTCGTTCGTGTAGACTACACCGTCGATGGGGAAGGGGTTCCCGCACTCAGCTCCGTTAAACGTGAAGAACCAGCGCGCACAGCCGTCGGAGGACCTGAAAATCCGGAGTTCACCGTTCCACGTCAGACGAAGGGCGGATGTCGGGGAGATCTTGTTGAACGCGCACTCCTGCGGTTTAGGATGACAGGGTATGTTACGTTTGTATTGCGTACAGATTTAAAGACTATGTATTTGCATGTAAGTAAGTATGTTTGTATGTATATATGTATGTATGTATGTATGTATGTATAAAAGCATCTATCCCTATGTCTCTATCTACCTATAAAATGCACACGTATCTCTATTCAACTATTTATTTGTCTATCCCACAATCTATCCCTATCCGTATCTATCTTTACAGTGTATCTCTCTCTCTATATATCTGTCTGTTTGTCTATATGTCTATCTAACAATCTATCCGTATCTCTCTATCTACACATTGTATCTCTATCTATCTATCTATACAATGTATCTCTATCTATCTGTCTATCTGTCTAACAATCTATCCGTATCTCTCTGTCTACACAATGTATCTCTCTATCAATCTATCTATCAATCTATCTATCTATCTTTCTATCCATCTATCTATCTATCTATCTATCTATCTATCTATCTACCTACCTATCTATCTAGTATCTATCTATGTAAATGTCCACCTGTCCAATACATCAAACAGAAGATGAAGAGAAAGAATAAGAATAAATACCACGATCATCCCAGATTCCGCCTCACTGTTCAGGTTTTTCCAGGCACACTGCTTCAGGTTCACTCGGGGCGGCATGCCTGGAGGTCCCGTCTCCCCTGCACTGCCCTTCTCCCCGGGCGGCCCCCGCTCCCCTCGGTCTCCCTTGGCACCGTCCCGGCCGTTGTTGCCAGGGACGCCATTGTTACCAGGGACGCCACTGTTACCAGGGCTACCGGGGTTACCAGGGAGACCGTTGTTTCCAGGGACGCCGGGTAACCCTTGAGGCCCGCTGACACAACTGCCACAACACTGTGTAAAATGGTAAAATGCACGACAACAGATTTGCATAGACATTTAAAAAAACATGATGAAAATATGCAAATGAGTCAAAGATAAACTAAATTTACATGATTTGAAGATTTCATTAGTTGTGTAGAATATATAAGAATAAAAATTTCATTATACATGTTGAATATGCACAAATGATGGACATAGACAGCTGCGCTATGTTAATGACCAGCCACCCGATAAAATCTAGTCGTCTGGTACGCTCTATACTACTACTTGTAGTAACTTTGACTGCGTCACTCGATGACACCATAAGAATACCCAATTTTCTGTGCACTCTATACTGCACAAAACAAAAACTTTATCAAATCTCACTTAAAAACAGATGTCCTAAAATCTTCACAACACCAATAAAAAGCATATTTTAGAAACATCATCTGACAGATGTGTATTATTCCTTTAAAAGTTCCGTGCTCACGACATTGCGCAACCAGGAAACAAATGTAAAAAAAACCCTTCAACTTCGCGCGCCCTTTTACCCTAACCTTAATAGTGCTGATTTTGGAACAACTGCCTTTATTGATAGTTAGTCAATATTGTAAGGTGGGCTTTGGCGATGTATATGTCATTTTGATGATCGGCATTGATTAAAACAATAATGTCCTACAACCGAATTCATGCAAAATAATCACATTTTTATGTATACTAGGTACCTAACTAAAAGTACACCTACAGGGCATCCATTAGAATAGTTCAATGGAATGTCATTAGTCTTGGTACGCTGTTCATTGAAAATTTTGAAAGAAACTGTTGCTTGTCCAAATACTCTTCTAACGGAAATAAAGATACCTTGATATATAAGTACAGTGTATATCCTTTCAGATGAGACATGTCAGTAAATATTGAATGCATGCTCAGTGTACAGTACATGTGTAGTAACGCTTAACTGTTTTTTGACGTGACGTCCTGAAAATCAGATCATGTGCCGTAAGACTTGTGTCATATATAGGGTGACCAAACATAGACAGACACGCACACACACACACGCACACACACACACACACACACACACACAGACACACACACACAGACACACACACAGACACACACACACACAGACAGACAGACCTCTGACCTCTCGGTACAATTTGCATGTTGTGTGTGTTTATGTAGTTTGTAGTTAAGCCTTACCATGTTGTTACGTTAGTAGTATGTTGTTAAATGTGCATAACGACTCCAGGAAGAATAGTATGTATGGAAACTCAGTCTGTACAAACTAATAGACATCGGTCTAATAAACAAACATATTGACTTCATTGCCCCTATTGTAGGTTTTGAATCTGTTTGACATAGTCGTTTCAACACATCACTGACCAATAGAAACAGACAAGTTTCTATATCAGTTTCATTTCCGGTTGAAATGTTCACTTCCTCGATGATGATCCTTGAGTGGGAGTTCCACCCTGTGTAGGCGTCCGGGGTTCCGCGTGGGTCTGCGCACGCCCCGACGTTCAGAGCCACGGTCACAGGCCCAGCCGGCAGGTTGTAACACAGGCCGTCAACTTTAAAAAACAATGATGATATACGTCATACTTTGATGTGGCCTTTCATAAAATAACAACATTGACTCATGATTTTTTTGAAAGTAGCGTATAAACAAATTCGTAATAATTTTTTTTCAGCAATCTAAATGATACGTTTTTTATGTATGTGACATCCATGTAATTCTTTCCTTGGGGCTGCCTGCTCCCAATTTGATTTTCCCCGTTTCTTGTAAATCAAAATCATGCCTCCTGTTAGAACTAGACTGTTTATGACTCACTTGTAGACACACGATGGATGATGAGGTTAGCGTTGCTCGTGTAGATTATACCGTCGATGGGGAAGGGATTCCCGCACTCAGCTCCGTCAAACGTGAAGAACCAGCGCGCACAGGCGACGGAGGACCCCGTGATCCGGAGTACACCGTTCCACGTCAGACGAAGGGCGGATGTCGGGGAGACCTTGTTGAACGCGCACTCCTGTGGTTGCATGAGGATGACAGGGTATGTTAGGTCTAGTTTGGATTGAGTTAAGATTTCAGGACTATGTATTTGTATGTATTTGTATTTATGTATGTATGTATGTATGTATGTATGTATGTATCCCTATGTCTCTATTAATAGTATTATCATTACTATTATTATTTCGTCATAAGACGGCTGGGTAGCCCCATTCATCTTACATTAGCTGTTTTCCAAGGGGGCCCAGCAAAATTACACAAGACATTGTTACATACAGTAAACATAAAAGTCCGATGCGTCAAACCGAAGTCATAGTCCTATACTCAGCCGTTCAAATGTAAAAAAAACACGAAAATCAAGGAATGGAGGTCAGAGGTCAGGTTTCATGAGACATATGTTTCAAGCCTATCTATCTAGACAATGTACATGTATCTCTATCTCCGTCCATCTGTGTATTATCTATCTATATAATGTATCTCTATCTACCTATCTGTCGATCTAACAATCTATCCATATCTCTCTCCATCTATACAATGTATCTCTATCTACCTATTTATCTATCTAGTAGATCTATCTATCTATCTATCTATCTATCTATCTATCGATCTAACAATCTATCCATATCTCTCTCCATCTATACAATGTATCTCTATCTACCGATTTATCTATCTAGTAGATCTATCTATCTGTCGATCTAACAATCTATCCATATCTCTCTCCATCTATACAATGTATCTCTATCTACCTATTTATCTATCTAATAGATCTATCTATCTATCTATCTATCTATCTAATGTCTACCTAATGTCTATCTAATTATCTATGTAAATGTATATCTAATGCCGATCCATCTATGTATGTAAATGCCCCCCCCCCGTCCTCCATTACATCAAACAGGACATGTCAACAGAAGAGAAAGAATAAGAATAAATACCACGATCATCCCAGAGTCCGCATCATTGTTCATGTTTTTCCAGGCACACTGCTTCAGGTTCACTCGGGCCGGCATGCCTGGAGGTCCCGTCTCCCCTGCACTGCCCTTCTCCCCGGGCGGCCCCCGCTCCCCTCGGTCTCCCTTGGCACCGTCCCGGCCGTTGTTGCCAGGGACGCCATTATTACCAGGGACGCCACTGTTACCAGGGCTACCGGGGTTACCAGGGAGACCGTTGTTTCCAGGGACACCGGGTAACCCTTGAGGCCCGCTGACACAACTCCCACAATACTGTGTAAAACGGTGAAATGCACGACAACAGATTTGCATAGATAAAAAAACATGATGAAAATATGCATGACTTAAAGATAATTACTAAATTTACATGATTTGAAGATTTCATTATCTGTGTAGAATATATAGGCATTTCATTATATATGTTAAATATGCACAAATGATGGACATAGACAGCTGCGCTATGTTAATGACCAGCCACCCGATAAAGTCTAGTCGTCTGGTACGCGCTATACTACTACTTGTAGCACCTTTGATTGGTACAACTAGTAGTATAAGATTGCACCATTTTTTGTGCACCCTATACTGCACAAAACAAAATCTTCATTAAATCTCACATAAAAACAAATGTCGTCCTAAAATCTTCACAACACCAATAAGAAGCATATTCTTAAGAAACATTATCTGACATGTGTATTATTCCTTCAAAAGTTCCGTGCTCACGACATTGCGCAACCAGGAAACAAATGTAAAAAAAAACACAACTTCGCGCGTCCTTTTTCCCTAACCTTAATAGTGCTGATTTTGGAACAACTGCCTTTATTGATAGTTAGTCAATATTGTAAGGTGGGCTTTGGCGATGTATATGTCATTTTGTTGATTGGCATTGATTAAAAAACAATGTCCTACAACCGAATTCATGCAAAAAGATCACACTTCTATGTATACTAGGTAGCTAACTAAAAGTACACCTACAGGGCATCCATTAGAATAGTTCAACGGAATGCCATTAGTCTTGGTACGCTGTTTATTCAAAATTTTGAAAAAAAACGGTTGCTTGTCCAAATACTCTTCTAACGAAAATAAAGATACCTTGATATATATACAATGTATATCCTTTCAGATGAGACATGTCAGTAAATATTGAATGCATGCTCAGTGTCGGTGGGATGGGACTAGGTAAAGGTAAAGGTAAGGTTCAGTGTCGACATGTACAGTAACGCTTAATGATTTCTTTGACGCGACGTCCTGGAAATCAAATCATGTGCCGTAAGACTGGTATCATATATAGGGTGAACAAACATAACACATACACACACACACACACACACACACACCCGCACACCCGCTAACCCCCCACCCCCACATGTTTGTAAGCATATCTTCCCCTCTCACCTGTCCTGTCCTAACGTCCTGTCCGCGGTTTGTCTGTGCAAAGATCGCCGCCACAAGCCCCACAACTGCCAACCACGAGTGCACATGTACAGCCATAACGTGTTTCGAACGCGTCTACCAAAAACTGTGAAAAAGTCTCCAACGTTGGTCCGGACTTGTTGCTGCTTCTGACGACCCTGACTCAGGTAGCAGGTATGAATAATTCAATGTCACGTGAGTTTCATTGTCTACTGAAGCATGACGCTCATCAATGGCATCAGCAGGACGAACTGCACCTGCGCAAACCCTGTAGTGTACTATGGTATTATGCACAGCACATTGCCAGAACGTTTCGTCTATAGATTTTCAAATATTGAATGATCTTGAATGGATGTTTATTGCAAGTTCCTGCCCTGCGTACGCACATGAACGTACCTACTCACTTACCAATGGCGAGTAAGGCCATGTTGATTTGATTATATGGAGGACATACGCACACACATGAATGTACCTACCCACCTACCAAATATGAAGTCAATCCTTCAAGCCTTCTAAAATTATCGTGTTTACAGACACACGCACACACACACACACACACACACACACACACACAGACACACACAGACACACACACACAGACACACACACAGACACACACACACACACACAGACACACGCACACAGACAGACAGACCTCTGACCTCTTGGTATAATTTGCATGTTGTGTGTGTTTATGTAGTTTGTAGTTAAGCATTACCATGTTGTTACGTTAGTAGTATGTAGTTAAATGTGCATAACGACTCCAGGAAGAATAGTATGTATGGAAACTCAATCTGTACAAACTAATGGACATCGGTCTAATAAACAAACATGCTGACTTCATGGCCCCTATTGTAGGTTTTGAATCTGCTTGACATAGTCGTTTCAACACATCACTGACCAATAGCAACAGACAAGTTTCTATCTTAGTTTAATCTCCGGTTGAAATGTCGACTTCCTCGATGATGATCCTTGAGTGGGAGTTCCACCCTGTGTAGGCGTCCGGGGTTCCGCGTGGGTCTGCGCACGCCCCGACGTTCAGAGCCACGGTCACAGGCCCAGCCGGCAGGTTGTAACACAGGCCGTCAACTTTAAAAAACAATGATGATATACGTCACACTTTAATGTGGCCTTTCATGAAATATTAACATTGATTCATGATTTTTTTAAGTAGCCTATAAACAAATTCGTAATGTTTTTCAGCAATCTAAATGACACGTTTTTGTATGTAGGTGAAATCCACCTAACTCTTTCCTTGGGGCTGCCTGCTAACAAACTTCTTGTAAATCAAAATCATGCCTCTGTTTGAACTAGACTGTGACTCACTTGTAGACACACGATGGATGTTGAGGTCAGCGTCGCTCGTGTAGACTATACCGTCGATGGGGAAGGGGTTCCCGCACTCAGCTCCGTTAAACGTGAAGAACCAGCGCGCACAGGCGTTGGAGGTCTTCCAAATCCTGAGGTCACCGTTCCACGTCAGACGAAGGGCGGATGTCGGGGAGATCTTGTTGAACGCGCACTCCTGAGGTTTAGGATGACAGGGTATGTTACGTTTGTATTGCGTACAGATTTCAAGACTATGTATTTGCATGTAAGTAAGTATGTTTGTATGTATATATGTATGTATGTATGTATGTATAAAAGCATCTATCCCTATGTCTCTATCTACCTATAAAATGCACACGTATCTCTATTCAACTATTTATTTGTCTATCCCACAATCTATCCCTATCCGTATCTATCTTTACAGTGTATCTCTCTCTATATATATCTGTCTGTTTGTCTATATGTCTATCTAACAATCTATCCGTATCTCTCTATCTACACATTGTATCTCTATCTATCTATACAATGTATCTCTATCTATCTGTCTATCTGTCTAACAATCTATCCGTATCTCTCTGTCTACACAATGTATCTCTCTATCAATCTATCTATCAATCTATCTATCTATCTATCTTTCTATCCATCTATCTATCTATCTATCTATCTACCTACCTATCTATCTAGTATCTATCTATGTAAATGTCCACCTGTCCAATACATCAAACAGAAGATGAAGAGAAAGAATAAGAATAAATACCACGATCATCCCAGATTCCGCCTCACTGTTCAGGTTTTTCCAGGCACACTGCTTCAGGTTCACTCGGGGCGGCATGCCTGGAGGTCCCGTCTCCCCTGCACTGCCCTTCTCCCCGGGCGGCCCCCGCTCCCCTCGGTCTCCCTTGGCACCGTCCCGGCCGTTGTTGCCAGGGACGCCATTGTTACCAGGGACGCCACTGTTACCAGGGCTACCGGGGTTACCAGGGAGACCGTTGTTTCCAGGGACGCCGGGTAACCCTTGAGGCCCGCTGACACAACTGCCACAACACTGTGTAAAATGGTAAAATGCACGACAACAGATTTGCATAGACATTTAAAAAAACATGATGAAAATATGCAAATGAGTCAAAGATAAACTAAATTTACATGATTTGAAGATTTCATTAGTTGTGTAGAATATATAAGAATAAAAATTTCATTATACATGTTGAATATGCACAAATGATGGACATAGACAGCTGCGCGATGTTAATGACCAGCCGCCCGATAAAGTCTAGTCGTCTGGTACGCGCTATACTACTACTTGTAGCACCTTTGACTGCGACGCTCGATGAGAATGCCCAATTTTCTGTGCACTCTATACTGCACAAAACAAAAGCTTCATTAAATCTCACTTAAAAACAAATGTCCTAAAATCTTCACAACACCAATAAAAAGCATATTCTTAGAAACATTATTCCACAGATGTGTATTATTCCGTCAAAAGTTCCGTGCTCACGACATTGCGCAACCAGGAAACAAATGTAAAAAAAACACACAACTTCGCGCACCCTTTTCCCCTAACCTTAATAGTGCTGATTTAGGAACAACTGCCTTTATTGATAGTTAGTCAATATTGTAAGGTGGGCTTTGGCGATGTATATGTCATTTTGTTGATTGGCATTGATTAAAAAAATAATGTCCTCCAACAGAATTCATGCAAAAAAAAAATCACATTTCTATGTGCACTAGGTAGCTAACTAAATGTACACCTACAGGGCATCCATTAGAATAGTTCAACGGAATGCCATTAGTCTTGGTACGCTGTTCATTCAAAATTTTGAAAAAAAACTGTTGCTTGTCCAAATACTCTTATAACGGAAATAAAGATACCTTGATATATATATATATATATATATATATATATA